AGGTGCAGCAAGAGACCTGCCGGAGGGGGGGGGCGGGTGCAGAAACACGGGGCCGGGAGCTGCCACGCCGTGACCTCGGCTTCTGGCTGGCTCTGGCAGAGCTGCCCCTGGGGATGGTGGGAGGGCCAGAGGCCTCCGAGATATGATCTAGCTCATTCTTTACAAGGCAGGAAAGAAGCTGGATAGGAGCTTAAATGGCACTGTTGGCTATTTAACATCTTCCTGCAGTTGGACTAGGTGATTGTTCTAGGTCCCTTCCAATTGAAATTTCTATTCTATTCTATTCTATTCTATTCTATTCTATTCTATTCTATTCTATTCTATTCTATTCTATTCTATTCTATTCTATTCTATTCTATTCTATTCTATTCTATTCCATTCCATTCCATTCCATTCCATTCCATTCCATTCCATTCCATTCCATTCCATTCCATTCCATTCCATTCTAATCTAATTATTTTTTGTGTGTGTTTTTTTTTTTTTTTTTGAGATGATGTCCATCCTGTAGAACTAACCTGGTGTTTTCCAGGGGCTATGGTGGGCGGGGAAAGGGGGGCCCTAAAGACTAAACTGAACGTGTGAGGTGGGTGCAGAAGGATGTTCCTGCACAGGCAGGCTTGAGGTGAGGTAATGGTGACCTTGGCTTTTAAAGAACGGAAAAAGTGATTGTATAGTGCAACCTGAGGCAGGCTCTGCTCTTGCTCCTGCGTCGACTTTGCTAAAACAATCTTGGCTGGGGCTTTGTCCCTGTGAGAAGGTACACCTCCCAGAAAGTGAAGCCAGGCTTAAAGAAGCTAAAAAAGTAAAGACTGCCGAGGTCTGATGATGGAAGTTCATTAGCTCCCGGCTGAATAAGTAGCTATGATTCTCTTTTAATGTAAGAGCTCTGCCAGCTTGCAAAGGAGCAGATGTGCACACAAGATGGATAGTTTCAAATAGTCAAAATACTGTTTTTTGGGGTTTTTTTCTTTAGTGATTATCTTTTTTCATCGAAAATAAATCCAGATTGTGCATAGTCTGGAAAACAAAATAACAATATTTGGAGAGTGGGAGTGTTTATTTAACAGGTGGCTTATTTAGCAAATGGTTTACTCTTATAAAAATAATATTCCTGTAGTATTTTGCAGCAGTGATTCGGAACATATGAGAGCGGGAAGGCATTTTGGGGGGTTATTACTTTATGTGGGCTCGGGTTAGGTTGGTTTAATTAAGAACATCTGTGGGAGCGCTTGGCTGAGCACATTTGCATGTGTTATTGACTTAGGGTTGGGTGCTGCGCCTTGGAGAGCCGCCGCCCCCTCCTCTCCGAGAAGGTGGGTGACAAGGCACCGCGTGTCTGCCGGGTCACGGCGCGGCTGCAGAGCCCTGTGCTGGCCCAAGGGGCAACCGGTGGCCTTCAGCCCGTCCCTATCACCCGGTGTTCTTCTTATGATTCCCAGGAATTTATCCTGGAAGGGTGAAAAAAGGGGAAGGACCCCCGTTGGCAGAGGCGGAGGGCCGGAGGTGAGCTGCAGGAGCAAGCCCAGCCCTTCCCAGCGGGCAGGCAGCGTTTTAACTCGGGCTCAGCTTTGAGGGTCTTTGCCCCCCCCCCGGACACCAATGCTCAAATCTGAGCTCCGCCGAGGGATCTGGGCTTGCAGACAAACCGGTGTCCCCCATGCCCGGGGGCAAGGAGCAGGGGCAGGGCCAGAGCCGCCCTGCCAGCCTCCGAAATGGGACAGAGGGGCTGTCCTTACCCCCCCGAGGGGTGCAAACAGGGCCCGCCGGGGACAAAAACCATATATTCTTTATACATCTTCTACCCTGGGTGTGATAGCTGCGCTGGAATTTGAGCTGAGAGATATTTTAATAGCAAGATTTTGAATAGGAGAAGGATAATTACACATAGCTTTGGCTCGCTACCTCCACGGGGCTTGGCTTTTGTTTTCAGATGGTGTCTCTCTACATTTAACAAATACAAACGACTTTGTGGTTTGTTTAGCTTTGGTTTTTTTTTTTTTTTTTTTTTTTTTTGGTTTTGTTTTGTTTGGTTTTGTTTTGTTTTGTTTTGTTTTGTTTTTTCCTATACTTGTTTTATTCTTATTAACCCTTCCAAAGGCTCTGGCACTGTTTTAAGTAATTGGCCTGATACTGAATAGTACCCGCACCACAAACTGCTGGGGTGCCTTGCTTTTGGCCTTTCTGCCTCAGCCTGTGGAAGGGGAGAAGGGATATCTTTCCAAAATATTTTTGATTTATGAGAATATTGAAGCGCTTTTCACAACTCCTAGGTTTTGTTAATAGCGTGAGCATTAAATATAGGTAAAATGCCTTTGATGACAAAAGTCATGGACACAATACTTTAAAGTGAGTATTAAATTATGGTAGCCCTAATTCTTGCAATTAGTTTTAATACTCCATCCCAGTATTTACCATTATTAGTTGCCATTTACAACAATGATGTCATGATTTTTGGGAGGAATTAGAAATTGAGAAAGTGTTGGGGGAGGGGGTTGGGGAAGATTGGTTGTTTTTTTTCCTGAATTGGCCAAATCCCTGGTTGTCAGCGCTCATGAAGGAGATCCATGCTAACGGGGCTAGTCTGAGATGAAGAGCCTAACACTAATCACCGCACATTTCGCCATACGGTAAAATAATTACTTTTCACAAGCATCAACTTGGTGAGGAAGCAAAGAAAAAAACAAAAAATCATATTTCGAGATCACAGTTGGTCAGAAAAATGAACGCATTTTAAACACCCAGAGGGAGATCCTGTGCTGTCCTTAGGTCAAGCTGGGTGCGTGAAAGACGGACAGGAACACCCCAGTCTCAGCCTTGAAGCCAGTCGAGCCTAAGTCCTCATCACTGCTATGGCTCTGCACAGCAAGCACTGGCAGGCCTTCCTTCTCCGCCTCCTCCTCTTCCTCCTCCTCCTTTGCCTCCTCCTCCTCTTCCTCCTCCCCCCCTTTCTAAGCAGGTTTTCCCAGTGGCCCCAGTGCTGGGGCCAAGGGGAGCATGTCCAGCTGCAGCAGCAGACCTGCATGTGTTCAAACCCTTTTCAGAAGTATTTCAGTCAATAATTCTCTACTGCCTTCTTCTGTTCATTAACCTTTACCAGAGTGCTAATTCTGTACTCAAATATAAGGTCAAAGCCCTTAGCTGAATTTTTTTTTTTTTTTTCAGAAGAACTAAGTGTCTTATCTAAAATCTTCTGGAGAGAAATACCACGCCAGAAGCACTCATCAGTGCCTCTTGACTGGCGCTGCCGCCGTCTCGCTTCCCGAGGAGCCGGTGGTACATCCAACGTGGGAGCGACTGTGCTGGGGAGCCACGTTACTAAGGGTGATTAACTTTGGGAAATTAATTTTTTTAAATGTACTCTCTTACATTGTGGCCTTTTGCAAAAAGGTGCTTAAGGCACTGAAACAAAGTCCAAGACACTTATTAACACTTATTGAAACTCCCATGACAAAAATGAATGTACTGTAAAAACTCAGGTATCTTTTCCACTGTGTGTCTCAGCAACAGGGGAGGCAAACGGGCACTCAGGCACTTCTGCCCTGCTGCATCTATCTAAAGCTGTGCCTGGATGGAAGGGCGCTGTCACCGTACCCCATGCTCGAGGATGGCAGCACGTACACATCTGACTTGGGGAGGAGGTTTTGCTGAGTTGGAAGAAAAACAAACATCACGGAGCTTTCGGGTTTAAGTTGAAATCAGAGCCCTGCTAGAGAAGAAGATGGTTGCTCAGACCTCAGCAGGCAAGGCGTAACGCCCTGTCGTTGTCTTCTTAGCTGACCATTTGTCTGACACCTTTTTTTAAGGTCTGTCTGATGGGTTAGGAGCTCAGTCTGAGAGCTGCAGCCTCCTCCTCCTGCCTTCCCCTTCCCCATGGGGTGGGGAGAGAAGGGGACCAGGAGAAGGGGACCAAGAGAAAGTTTAGCAGCCTTGCAATTAAATTAATATGAGAAAAAAAAAAGAAAACCCAGTGAGACTAGAAGATGTGCAGGTAGCAGAGCAGGATGCTACTTGTTCACTTTTCCTGGGATACCTGGAGGAGGGTGGGTGAAATTACCACTTTCCTGAATCGGGCTCGTTGCTCACAGATGGCTAAAGCACGAGGCTGTGTCTGCCGTGGTTTCAAAAGACTGATGCAGATATCCTAGAGCTAAACTTCCAAAGCCTGTGTCAAGCACGTTGATTAATCCAGCTCTGAATTTCCCCTAACTCCACACGGATGCCTCACCAGCTTATTTTCCATCTCACTGACCTTCGCCTGGCCCCGGCAAAGCGGCTCGATGCCCACGGTGGCCGAGGCTCCGGGGAGCAGCTTGTGGGGGGGGTGTCCTGTCCCATCACTCTGTCCTTCTGCTGCTAATTAACACACAGGTAGGAAGGCTACGGGCACCTATCTTCCTAAGAGTAATTTAGAAATGATCCATAGGGACTTAGGGTCCTTAATTTTTTGGCAAACATTAAATCCTCTTTATACAGAAAATAGTGACAAACCAAATCCATTGCTCCCCCGGCCCAAACTCCCAGGCTTTCTAATTTTAAGAGCTTGGCGGGAGTGAATTTGCAGTAGCTTACTCCAAAGTTAACTTTTTTTTTTTTTTTTTTTTTTTTTCCTTATCGTAATAAATGTAAAAAGGTCAAGGTTAATGAAGAAAATAGTGAATTTAAAGTTCTGTGGAGGAACAACCCAGTGCTTTTAGCAATTCACTTAAATGAGAGAGGAAAACCAGTTCCTTTAACATTTTAAAGCTTTCATAGCCTAATGAACCATGCCACCTCCCGCAGCTTCTACAGAGCCAAAATTCCTGCAAGAAACTGTCTCATTAGCATGAAGTGGGGGCAGCCTGCCCGGCTGGCTGCGGCTCCCGGGGACGCTTCGCCTCGCCCGCCCCCGTGGAGCTTCTCTACCTGAAGGGACACGTCAAAAACGTTAAGCACATCTAAATGGCTGCACCTCCCAGCCTAAATTAACCGCCCCGTAGAAGAGGAAAGTCTATTTTTACATTAAAAAAAAAAAAAAAAAAGGAAAAAAAAAAAAAGGCAGGGGGAGGGAAGAAATGGCCCTGCCATCTCACCGTTGGACACCTACCAGAAAACAAGGCTGCTGCTGTTCAATCACATCTTTAAGGTTTATTCTCACTTGTGGTTCACATTTAAGTCGCTGTCGTTGAGGTTAATGGGAGTTGTGTGCTTGGGACTATAATGGTTTTGATAAGTGGAAAAGCTGATGTTATTGCACATAAATCGCATCGTGTAATGTGCGAATTGTGTTTTGTTTTTTTGGCTGAAAAATAATAAAGAGAAGGATGGTTGTGCATTAGGAGAGAACAGATTTCGCCCTCTAGATACCAAATATAATATATATCATCATTACAGGCATTTTTTTTATCTGGCAGCATAGAAAAAGAAGGCTAGTGGAGGAATAATGAGCACTTTCATATTTGGCAGATAAGAGGGGAAACTCCTGCGGCTTTAGTGGCCGGAGCAGCACTATACTCTCTCCTCCTCCCCCGTCTTTAAATTCTGGCTCACTGCACAAATGTAATTTATTCTGCTAATGGGGCTCAGGTTTACCTGCTGTCCAGCGGCCCCGGGGGCTGCGGCAATGAAAGGGGCTGCAAGGAAAATGACTTTCAGCCGTGCGATTTTTCATCGCCGTTGGGGGGGGGGGGGGGGGGGGGAGTTCGAGGTTCGTTGCGTGGGCGAACCAAGTCCTCCGCTCCCCCCGTGTCCGTGCGGGGCGAGAACAAAGGAGCAAGGTGCCTCCTGCGCCTCGCCAGTGGCCGGGCTGGCCGTTGGCAGAGAGCAAAGCAAACCCTGGGTGGGGGTGACTCTGGGCGGCAGGACTCGGGGGGCCACCGGCACGCGGGGGGGATGCCGGGTGGCTGGTGTCGGCAGCCCCCCCCCACACCCCTGGGACCCCTCCCCTGCAGAGACCTGGCGGCCTCGCCACAGCTCCGCTCCAGACGCGCCCCGAGCAGCCGAGTGGGATTCCCGAGTGGGAATCGGCCCCCCCAGCCTGTCCTACAATGCAGATTGACATCCTACCAAGCGACGGGAAAGCTTGATGTGCCCTAAGAGAGGAGTGACTGAAACCCGAGTTTATGGGAGGTGGCAAATACACTGATCCTTACACTTCTTTTTTTTTTTTTTTTTTTTTTTTTTTTTTTTTTTTTTTTTTCAGCGCAGGAATTTTCTAATATAAAGGAACCTTTGAGCTCTTCACGAATTAGGCATAAATTGGGCAGAAAGCGATACAAACACATAGGTACGTGCTCAGCGCTGGAGGTGCCCTGGTAAAAATCTCCCCTGCCCTGGCTGCTATGAAATGTTTGGAGCAGGATTTGAGAATCCCTCCCCAATTACCCTGAGACCCTGGTGCCATTGCCTTGATCTGGCTGTTTTCAGTTACGTTACGGACTTCTTCCAATTGCAGAATAAATTCCTCCCCCCCACCCCCCCCCCCCCCGCCCCGCCTTGCCCTCAACGCTGAGAAGAGAAAAATAAAACAGGACTGAAAAACCAGAGCCAGCCCAAACTAAGCATGTTTGCAGCACCCTTTCATCTGCAACGGTGGGGCTCAAGGTCAGATAAATTGAAAGTAAATTCCTCCCTTTGATATTAATACTTATTTATCTACTCTTAATATTAAGGCTGAATGGATAATTTTTAATTCCTGTTTTAAGATTTTTATTTATTTATTTATTTATTTTAGTGTTTTCTTATTTTAAAGAGCTGTGTGTTGCAAGCTGCAGGACGGCGGGAGGGGTGCAGCTGTGGGGCCCCCCTCCCCGCAGCGCTGCGGGAGGAGGGGGCACCCAGCACCTCGCTCTGCCCTGGCCCGGGGTCACCCCAGCAGTGACACGTCCAGGGGGACGTGGGGGGGGACGTCACGGCCCTTGGGCAGCCCCCCTGGGCACTGCCAGCCCCCCCTCCCCGGCACACCCTGCGCGCCAAGTGATGCGCTGCCGGTGCTAAAGTGTCGGGCTAACCTTTATCCTCTTCCTAAACTTCCTCACGTATGCCAGTTTATGCAAGAATTTAATTTTTTTTCAGATTCTTTCAAAAGAAACGCTTGGTTTTGCTTTCACTTTTTTTTTCTCCAAACAAAACCTTCCATGGCAGGCTGTGAAATATGGATTATTTACCTCCGGACTGGGCACAAGCCTGATCCAGTCTTAGAAGTAAATGCATATTTAGTCTTTAAGGCATACTCTTTATCCGTGTAAACACATCTTTTGGTATACACATTCTTTATAACACAGTTATGTGGACTAAGCGGAGATTTTGGTAGGCGTAACATTTACCGTTGCTTGTCTAGAACGCTAGCTCTGAAAATGTGCAAAAAAGCAGCTTTAACCGGTGATGGTTTTTAACACTCCTGTATCTTAAAAACATCATAGTTCCTCAAAAAAATATATATTGAAAAGTTTAAAAAAAGCTGTCTAGCTCTGAAGGAGACATTTCCTGCCAAGTTATAAACCTTTGAGAAACTGCATTTGTTCAAGAAGTTGTGAGACATCCTTTAATTCAATATTAGTATAATATCACGATCAGCAACTGTATAATTAGAGCATCATTGCTTCTATGTATGTCACCGATGCAGTGGTAATTGCAGACCTGAGTTATTGCACAAGTAGGAACTTACGGTGTTACAGACTTTGGGGTTTTCCAATGTGGACAACGATCTTGATATAAATATTCAGTTATACTGCTTGGAGCTAAGCCATTTATTTTTCACTTTTGAAAGGTGGGAATAAATATAATAATGTTTGCCCGACAGATATGAAACAGTATGGGTTAATCCTTTGAAGAAGCATAGAACATACCTTCAAACAGCTGCCTAAAGCAAAGACACCCCACAAATTACAGGGTGGGTAGATTTCGGAAAACGTGCTTGTGCTCAATTTGCAGCAGTCTGCACCGAACGCCCCGCTAAGTCCCAATCTGCACAATTACCGCTTTGCCGCATGGAACAGATTCACCAGGAACCAAGTTTCTTTATTCGATCAACACCGCCTCCGGCTCCAATCCTGCAAAAATTAGGGTCGCTGGGCTCTACGTGCTCTGCCTGCGGAACTAACCGGGGCGTAAAGCTGTATCGCTTTGTGGGGCTGGGGGGGGGGGGGGGGGGGGGCCTGAGCGGGCCCCCGCGGGCCCCCGGCAGCATGTGCCCCCCCCCACGCCTCGCACACGCATGCACACGCGCGCACACGTGGCCGCTGCCAGACACGCAGGTCGGCCTGAGGGAAAATGCCTATTTCAGCTAAGGAAACGCCATTGGCCCCGAGAAATATTTGTGGGTTTCGCTGCTTTTCTTTTTTTGACTTGACAATAATTATGTCCCCCCCTCCAAATTTAAGTGGAAATTCAGAGATGGGACTGAGTATCTTGTCCATGTTATCCAGTGGCTCTACCTGGTACGAATGCAAACAGTCCATACTTCATTTATTACTCTTATTTTGTATTTAATAAACCTGCCGTTCATTCTATCCTGTTGCTGGAAATACCAGGACCCAGATATCAGGAATCACTGAAATGAAATATATCCTCAAAATACATAACCTGATCCAGCCACAGTATAGAAACATCTCTCAATTTTACGTGAGACAAGGCATATGAGTTGGGCTATGCATATCCTTTTTTCTTCCTTCAGAAAACTGTACTGACATGCTACTTTCTGCAGCACCACTGTTTCTAGCGAATGGATTCTAAAATATAGCACTTTAAAGCTGCAATACAAGAGAGATCAGAATATCAGGACTGTGTATAGTATAATTTCAATTTGGCTTGTCCTATTTCCTTAAAGGATGAATTTTGTCATGTTATTCAAGGTTTTAAAAAATGCCACATTTCTGAAAAGAGTAACTGCTTAGCACATGGCTGTAAATAATATGATAGGAATAGTACGATCTGTCACTGAACATACGCAGAGTGATCCAGGACATTTTACTGCCATATTTTGGAGTCGACATATTTCCGTTTTAAACCCTGCGTCTGAGTTTATCAGTAACTACAACAGATTCACTGCGCATTCTGTCTACGCGTTAGCACGGGACAGTATATATTGAGAGGGGCGAAACTCGGAGTCTGCCTCTTCAAAAACTTGGGGGGGGGGGGGGGGGCACCTGTAAACTGAATTTGGCCCTTTGCACAGGGTGTGCGCAGGATGCACGGTGCTCCCCTGGCAGTGCTCGCCACAAACCCCGCTGTCAGGAGAAAAAAAAATCTCGTAGTGTAAGAACTGCGTCGCCTACCGGAGCCCATACACAAACCAGGGGGGAATAATAACGTCCGTAACGGTTTTGTTATTCTTGTCATCAACAGTTGTTTTGTAAGCCAGTCAAGGTCTTTCGGGGTCACCAGGAGATCTGGCCTTCAAGGGCTGTTGGCCATAGTCATGCCCCAGCAATTTTCACAGCTGGCGTTTTTAAATTCATCTCTAAACTGTGAGCAATACTTTGTGCTAATGCTGCCCGGGGTGGTTTAAACCAAAAGTTAGTAGCGTTATCTGCTATTTTGAAACTTGATCCTTCACTGGGTGAAATGAGAGTATTATCTCGATGGTCTGCAGCACTAGGAACTTGTGTGTGAGGCCTTAACTGCTGTGGTAAGGTATTTGTACAGTGTTAGTGCATCGGTAACGACGTCCTGTCTGTAAAGATGATTCTATCATGGATGGCAACATGCACTTCGGTACAGTTATTGGAGCAACCTCGTTTTAATATATATATGTATTTTATATATATATATGTATATATATAAAATTCTGCTTGATACTTCATGTATTTTTAGATATCTAATATTTAAAAGCATCCTTTATCATTGCTAAATTAGCCAAACCAGTACAAAATTAAGTGCAAGAAAAATACCAATTCACATCATTTTTGCCAGTAATACAAAAGGGACTATTCAGCTTCTCACATTTACAGCCATTTAGGAGTTTTGATTTAGAATGACTAAGGGAAACGTTCCTACGTTCAAAAGATGTCTCAAAATAATTTGCGTTCTGTTTCGTAATGGGAAAACTATTTTTTGCAGAGATCGCCTACTGGTTAGTGGTAGGAGATGGAAAACATAAAAAGGAGTCGGTGCTCTCCTTGACTGGTTGCCTAAAAACCAAAGTCTGGAGCGGTTCGATGACCCCCTGGAGATGGGAGAGGAGGTTTTTCCTTTTAGCCAATAGCACCTTTGTCCTCAACTAGTGATTTCTTATGCTCAAAAGGATGCTTTAGCATTTCCCAAAACACATTCCAGATTTGTTGGAGAGGAAGAGGAAAGTAGTGTTTTATGAAGGCACACCCATGCTGAATTTGCAGGAAAAAGGAAAGGAAACAGAAAGCAGTACTGCACAATGCAGTTATAATACAAGGCTCATTCTTGAAACCTGAATATCATGCTAGAAGAAAATCTAGATATGTGTAATATTTTGAAGAAATATTTTGAAGGCAATATTATTTGTTTGTTTGATTTTTTTTTTTTTTATCAAAAAAGAAAAAATGTTTCTGTGTAAATGTGGATAGAATGCTATTTAAGAAGGGAACTGAATATTTGTATTGCAGCCTTAAAGAAGCACATTTTTACTGCAATATATATATATTTTTTTTTTTTTGTAAACTACGGTCTGCAACTCAGCAGACCATGACTGAATGCTTTTGAAAACTTGTAGATTACAAACATGAAATCACAATTAATATCCTCTAAAAGTAATTTCAGAGCTTTCACGTCTTAAAAAAGGACAATGTGTACTGCTTCACAAGGTAATGCAGCTAATCAAAAAAAGGAGTAGAATTAAAGTATTTACATAATGAGCAATTCTACAGAAGGCGATCATCCCCATGTAAGCACTGCTGATTATATCCCACGCTGCTTTTAACAAACTCTACCAGATTGGATCCAGTCATCAGCACTTTCAGAGAATCCTTAAAAGCCTTTTATGGGTCTTTACATTTAGTGCAGAATGATGTTCTTCAGGTAGAATATGCTGGTGAGGGAGGACAGTGTCAACACAAGGTACCAGCAGGAGAAGAGGACTTCGGCATCACCGGTGATCCCGTACTGGGCTGTACTGGGAGCTGCAAAGAGAAGAAAAAGGGGTTAAGTGAAAATTTCCACTCAGATCCCCGAATTCACAGTTTTCAATAATTCTTCTAATGAAACTCTCAGGGCAGCAAAAGCATTGCTCTGAAAACCGGAGAAAACGCTGCAAAAGTAGCCGAGCCCTCCTGCTACACTGCTCGGTGACTGTTACTTTTTGTCTTAAAGAGGATAAATCGTTATTAAGGCAAGCATTTAAAACTGTGAGTACTTAACATCAGATGAGCGCTTCATGTTTAAACATCTGAATAATTTATCTGTTTTTAAGTTACTTAGCATTAATATATCCACTGAAATCCATGAGAGGTGAATATATTTAGCTCTGTTGGAAAAGAACTCATTTTCTGCCTAACTTTAGAAGCCAGTTTGACAATTTTTCTTAGCCAAAGACATTCATATTTCTTTTCAGTCTCTTTGAAGAAATTATATTTACTTGCTTTAATACAAAGTCTTTCTCAAATTCCTGGGTACATATTACAGCAAGTGCATGCCAAAGGAGTTAATATCTAAGAAAACAGTGTCGAGAAACAAGTGAGGAGACAATCTTTTGCAGCAGCCCGAGCGGGCTGTCTGGAGACTGTCCTGCGTGCGGCGCAGGAACCAACCCGGGCAGAAACAGGAGATTTTTGGTCTTGTAAAGCCACGGGCGGGAGGAAGGAGAAGGACCTGTTACCTCAGCCTGCGCTGAGCCGAAGCTGTCAGGGTGATGCTATCGGGATGTTCGGCTGCTAAATAAACACTGCTGGCTCACTTTGGCCGGCCGATTTCTGTGCAAAGCTCCTCTCAAATCAAGTATTTTTCATTTATATGATGCATGAAACCCCAACCTCTTATAGTCATGCGCGGCATCCTGTGCTCTTTGGTTGAACAGTGGTATAAAAAGGTTTTGCTTTCCAGACTATATGGATATACTATAGATTCTTCTAAAACATAAAATCTGTGCAAGCCTTGTATCGAGTGCCATTTCCACAAGCTGGCATCGCCTGTGTCGGCGGCACTTAGATAAAAGTTGCAGAACTTGCTTTTTTGACTAGGCTGAACCCCACGCCTGTCAAAACCACAGACGGATATTAGCTGGGCAAGACTGAGCCACCTTGGTGCCCATGTCCTGGTGCTCAAGGGCTTTTCCTCTCAGAGGACAGAGGTGTCGGGAAGGCAGGAGGGGAACAGGCATTTCCAAGATCATTCCTGATGACCCACCTTGAGCGAGCTGGGGATGCTCAACCCAAAGGCTGCGCTGCAAAAGGGAGAAGCCACTACCGTGGCTACCTTGAAAAACACACGAGCCACATGTGAACGAAGAGGAGGAGTCGCCTGGGAGCCCCGGGCTGGGGAGGGGTTGGGTACCATGTGGAGGATCCTGCCTATTCCGCTGGATCTCTCCTTCCACCCCATTGCATCCCCGTCCCGAGGTGTCCTCAAGGCGCGGGGATATCTGGACCGAGAACACCAAGAGGTGGTCTGAAGGTGAGACTTCAGCCAACAGCTCTACTCTGCGGGTACGTGGGAGACGGCTACACGGAAGAGGTACCAAGGGTGCAGAAAAGAAACTTTCCTGGGGCCAAGCCAAATTCCAGGAGCCGCCTCACAGCACCGCTGCCCCTCGCCAGTGCCAAGTCCAGCCCCGGCAGGATGACACCAGGGTACGGCGCCCGTGGGGAGGAAGCAAACGGCACCAAATCCTCACGTGCTTCCCTTTTGGACAGAGAGGAGGAGAAGTAAAGCATCCCTGATGGCAGGCGCGGCGCGGTCAGGATGGAACCCGGGGAGGAGAGCTGGATCCCATGGGGGGGGGTTGGTACCCGGCGTCTGGTTTGCACGGAAAGCCCTCCTGAGGGGAACGACCGTAAAAAAGCAACAGAGGGGATTTCACCAAAATTGCAGGCTGTCTGGAGGAGTGGGAGCAACTACAGCATTCCCCCCCGCCAAAAAAAAAAACAAACCAGCAAACCTGGGGGTTTCACCAAATCCTGTTTGCTTTTGCAGGATGCAGTCTCCTGAATTTCAAGTCTTGTTCAGTCCAAACACTGAAACATAAATGTCCCTTTTATTTCTATACAGAAATCTGTGCTATGTGTTAACGGGTCCATTTTCAACGTATGACATTTTATTTGGCGCAGAGTATGTGATAAAACCTAAAATCATTCATTTTTCCCCCCATGCAGAAAGGCTTACGTAATAAAGTACCAGATGAAGTTTGATTTTGAAGCTTATTTTAGTGACTTATAACCACCACTAACTGCAGGACAGGGCACTCTCATCTCTTCTCATTAAAAAAGAACTTTCTGTGATAAGTCAGTATGACAAATCAACATTTAATTTATTACAAAAAACAGGCTAGCAAGCTGAAGCAAAATGTAGGTGGTATTTCATTTTCTCATATTAAAAGAGTTTCCCCAATGTAAAGATAATTTGAACTACAGTGGCTATAAAAGCGAGTAGAAAATTATGTAAATCTGATTTCCTGCATAGGAACCAGTACTGGCTTTCTAAAGCTTATTAAATCATATCTGGATTGTTCCAGCACAAAGGTACTAGGTGAATTAACAGGGGAAAAAAATCTGTAGAGTTGGGTAGGCAATAGAAAAGAGCTATGGTTCTCAAAGCTGTCTAACCAGAAGAATTTGAGGTGAAAGCGACCTGAAGGAGAAGCAAATCTGGAGAAGTTTAAGCCACTGGACTCTGCTGGGTTTGAATAAACTGCCCCGAGGGTCAAGTTCATGTGGCAGAGGGAGGTGCAGGATGCCAAGCGAGGGCAGGGGCTGGTTTTGCTGGTCCATGGGCCATTTCAGTAGCCCTGTTGGATCCCATCCTGTCCCACACCTCACGTCCCTGAGGAGCGAGGGTATCGATGCTATGGCTGGGTCTGGCAAACAAGATTTCAGTTCAAAAAAACGTTTAATAAGCTCTCTGAGTTTCTTTAAACCTGTCTTTGGTATTACAATAAAGAACGAGATCCAGCTGTGCTGCGTGGCTCCCAGGTTCACTGGGACTGATGTACTGAAAGAGGTTGAGCCAAAATTTAAAATTCTTCTCCAACCCCTCTAATACCTGTTCCATTTCCTCGGATTCCTTTAAAGGGGGCAAACTGGTGCGAGGCTGCTGTCATTAGGGTCTGCTGACCAGGACCTGCTGGGTGCAGTTTCACTTAGTGAGACCTGCAGTGGCATTTGCCACAGAAAACCAAAATAAACCCGGAACTATTCACATTTGCAGCCGCATGGTCGCAAGAGTCCCCCCGGACAAAGAAATTGCTGTCACTGTGAAAATGTCCCCAAAATCTATGGCGCGCCAGCAGGCAAACTGATCAGAAATTGGCTTTAAAAGGCGCTTTTTTTTTTCAGAACTGTGTACTGCAGGTTTAAAAAGCCATGCTATTTTAATTCAAACTGGAACTGGTAGCTGGAAAACATTTGCCATATGCCTGCACAGGACCAGAAGTTCAGTTTGTGCATCGTGGTGCGCTGCTTCAACCCTCTAATTCATCTGTCGGTGGAAAAAGCCTGACTTTCGGTTTGCCTTAATAGTCTCCTTTTATAATTAGCAGCCCAAATTAGAGCACCCTTCGGGACGCTCGGCTGGCAGAAATGGGCAGGGTGCTGCCTGTGCATTCAGCTGGGGAGCGCCCGGTTGTCTCAGGTAGGATGGATGGTGACTTAATGATTGGGAAAGTCTTGCCAGATCATTATGCCTCTTAACTTTAATTTGACTTCTGGAAATCTCCAAGTGTTTCTAGTCTCCAAAGTGAATTTATAAGCAGATGTCCCTCTCTCACAGTTAGTGGCAAATGGGTTGCATCAATTACAATGTCACGGTACGTCTACTGGATGGCATACAGTTTAAAACGTTGTGCTTGGCTCTTTAAAATTCTGAAAAATTAATAAGCTTCTGCAGTCCTTTTCTTTTGCACCTTGGTATTTTGATTAACTTTTCCTGTGGCTATCTGATTGCTTTGCAGGCAAAAGAAAATCTTGTTCCCAAATATTCTGTAGAACTTTTGTGGTGTTTTACAAACTTTAAAAAGCAAACAAACTTACTTTTAAAATTGAAAGATTCTTAGTATGGTCTGCTTAATCATTCACCTAGAATGAATGATTACTTTTGGTAAGTACTAAGTAGTCCTTGCGTTTGTTATCATTGCTGTGTAATGCTAGGCAAGGTCATTTTGTACTTGGACTTGTTAATTTTCATAGGGGTTTTTTGACAGTTCTCTGTCAGACTGAAAACCTTAGTCTAGGAATGAATGAAAAGGTTTAAATGTTTGAAAACGGCATAAAACTCACAGCTTCTTTTTTCCCCCACCAAGATATTAACATTGAATGTCATTGTTTTATACAGACACACTCGCTTGCACTTGCAGTCTTAATATTTGTACAGCAAGATAATGGTGGAGGTATGTATGATTAGGCATTAAATAAAAGCATGAATTATTTGACTCTGTGATTGCATCTGCAGCTATCCTGGGCATTTCCATAATACCTACCACCACCATTATAATGGAGCGCTCTGTTTACGACTGATTTTACAGCGTCTGAAGCTTTCGGTACACAGAGAGGGGAAGGAGAACAGCGGTTGGTATTTACCCAGCTAAAGAGCCTCATCCAGAACAATGTCTTGGTACCTCTTTGAAAAAGAAACCAAGGTCAAATGGTTTGGCTGCCCTTGTGCTGATCTGGCGGTGCACGTTCAGTTCAGAGCCGTGGCAGCAATACCTTAAAAGAAAGTGAATTTCCATCTAGAGGAAGGTTAAAATGAGCTTGATGAAAAGTCTGATGTTCGAGATAGATAGATAGATACAAAATGACCTAGGATTGAGAAGATGCAATAAGTTGACAATATATCAGCCTCAGTCGCTGCAGGATAATAATTTACTTTCTTGCTAACGGCTGTGTCGTTAAATTTCCCTTGGAGCCCGCCGAGGAGGGCAGGGGCAGGGCGCCCGGCTGAGCGGTGCACGGGGCAGCGCCGCGGAGGAGCT